GTGGCAAAGTCGCAAAGTCGCAATCTTGGTTCCGTACACAATGTTGCAGCAAGTCACACTGAAGCACAAGCACTGAGGCCGAAAACTGAGTCCCCAAACGCAGCTTGAGTCCGGTCTGAAGTACCGGACTCGAGTTGAGTCCGAGGGCAAAAGTGCAATTTGCCTCGGGGCTGAACTGAAAATCGAAGGTCTGAGCCTGGGCGCCAGAATGCCAGATGGCGCCAAGTACGAAATCCGAAAGTGGCAGCGGCGGGATTTGAGAACGGGCACCAACTGCAGAGGGCGCCAACAGTCGGGAACCGGAGATCAGAAACTCCAAAAAAAATAGAATAGCAGCCTGGTGGGTGGTACCCCGCGAACCAGGGATGGCTGAGTCCGTAACACTCCTCCTCCTCCTTTCGTCTTGTCCTTCTCTTCTCCTCCTCCTCCTCCTCCTCCTCCTCCTCCTCCTTTCATCATCTTCTTCTACCTTCTTCTTTGATCTTCCTCTTCTTCCTCCTTTCCTTCTTCTTCCTCTCATGGCGGGCGGTGGCAGCGACGGGTCTGGAAGGATGAGAGGCAAAACGGCAGCAGGCAAAGGAAAAGGAAAAGTTGCAAGCACCTCCACTACACCCGCATCAGCAGTGACCTCCAAAACCTCACACCGGCAATGGACCCTTCGCTGTTCGTTCCACAGGACAAGGTGAGGCAGGACAAGCTGCAGATTCTCAAAGACCCCACGCCGGCAATGGACCATTTTACCCCCTTGTCACCCCCCCCCCCCCCCCCCCCCGAAAACCCCCCCCCCCCCCCGCAACCGCCCCTCTCCCCCCTGCCAACACACATGCCTTTCACACGTTTCTCTGCGGATTTGGGCTCCTCTCAGTGACCGCACTCCAACCCCATCTTCAAAAAAAAAAATAAAAAAATTCTGGGACATTTTTTGGCTCGTCTGGTTTTGCCGGACGGACCCCCCCCCAGTCTGTCAGGCCCGGCCCATCTGGACCGGGCGTCGGCCTAACCTAGGTGTGTATGTGATTTTTAAATAATATTTTTTCCTAACAGATCAGCATATTGAAAAGATTTCACTGGCCAGCCCACCATCAGCATCCTGTCCCAGTGCCAATCCCGAGGTTCCAAGTCCCATGCACCATGGGTGCCAACCCGGTAGGTACATAGGTCGAGTTTAGTCTACAAGCCAGTGGATTAGCACTTGAGTCCGGTACAGTCCAGTTTAGTTCAATCAGTGCCCCAAGCCCCAGGAAAGTTCGGTAAACATTCCGGATGTGTCGACTGCCTGAACCACAGTCAGGAAATGAGGGTACTGGTCCAGGAGTCCAAGGATGTGGAGCCGAATCGTCACATATAAAAGCAAGGCAGCAGTGGACATCAACATGTTTCCCACCCATGCCCATTGTGGTGCAAAGGGTCAATGGTAGTGTTTGCACCGTTGTCTCCCCCCTTGCAACGCCCAGAGCCCATTGCTCTAAGCAGGGGCTTAGGAGAGCCAAGGCAGCAGTCGGCACCAACATATTTCCCACCCATGCCCATTGTGGTGCAAAGGGTCGGTGGTAGTGTTTGCACTGTTGTCGTCCCTTGCAACACCACAGCCCACTACTCTAAGCAGCGGTTTAGGAGAGCCAAGACAGCAGTCGACATCAACATATTTCCCACCCATGCCAATTGTGGTGCAAAGGGTCAGTGGTACTGTTTGCACCGTTGTCGCCCCTTGCAACACCACAGCCCATTGCTCTAAGCAGGGGCTTAGGAGAGCCAAGGCAGCAGTCGACATCAACATATTTCCCACCCATGCCCATTGTGGTGCGAAGGGTCGGTGGTAGTGTTTGCACCGTTGTCTTCCCTTGCAACACCACAGCCCATTGCTCTAAGCAGCGGGTTTGGAGAGCCAAACATTCTGGTAGACGACCACCTAGAACTCGGAAGCTGCGGTAGATGCACACAATCCAATGGGAATGAATGAAAAATTAAATCGCAACCGGCTAGCTGTTTACCACAAATGGTGCCCACGGCCAATGCGCTTTAAGAGGAAGGGATGAGCACCTCCGTCGGTGGGCACACGCTGTACAACCACACATCCAACCTGCAACACCCTCCAAGTGTGACTGCCAGTCAACGTTAGCTTATCATATCTCCAATATCGCGAGGCAATGGCCATTGACACTGCCTCCACATGGTAAACAATGGGTCTCTCCAATCTCCAACAACCCTCGTCCCACGAGTCATGCTTCTTGAAGTCGTGTACCCTCCCCGCACTACTAGGCTACAGAAAGCCGCCCTCCAACACCAGCAGCAATGGCTGCAGTTGGAAAAGAGTCCTGGCATGAGCTCACTTCTCGTCCGCCATGATGCTGCTCACCAGCACGTGCTCTCACGTATGTGACTTTGTGGGGCCAGACCAAGGCAGGCCTGTCTAGCTACCAGATAGACGCATTAGTGTGCGGAATTGAGGTGAGCGCTCCAGATGCTTTGTTGGGAAGGGCCAGAAATC